ATGTAACTCAGTGGGCGGAGCTTAATAAGTAATGTCATCGCTAGCCAATCAGCGATGTTGGATGAAATCCTGCGGTCGCAAGTAAGATATTTATATTTACTTTATATATTTAATCAGTGGTTCCAATTAAAATATAACAAAAAATCTCCATTCCATACATTCACTGTACAACTTTTAATACCATCATAAGCCTTCAAAAATACGTAAATAAGAATTTCATTTTTATTTTCATTAGCGTAGATCCTATGGGAGTGAGGCTACCCGTTATCTACCTACCTTGTCCCACTCCTCCCTTGTCTGCTCATGTATAGTACCTGTATTACTGGAATTTTCGTGAGAAGGAGGTGAGCGGCTCGGCGCCCTAAGGAAGCCCCAAGGATAAATCATTGTGGACTATTAACATTATTGCTATTACAAATATGTTGCAATGCTTCTTGTATAGTTAAAAAAATGATCATCATATTCATACTTACAGTATATGATGACGTTTACCTCAAATCAGACCACCAAATTTGAAACCCATTGATGAATCCAGTGTGAATGTAGAGGAAAGACTTACGATAGAAGTATCCCTTCAATTTTGTTAATGTCTTTAGGCCTACATTCGTCTTGCCCGCGGTGCCCACCGTTTCTGTGTGGATGTCGGTCACACTAGAATAACCCGTTAGAGTACTGTACATCCGTCTTTCCTCACACAGCCAAACTGTGGAATGCTTTGCCTTCTTCTGTGTTTCCACACTCTTACAAATGTCTAGCTTCAAAAAGTTGGTTTTCCGGCATATTTGTGGTGTAGATTAATATAGCCTTTTCTCCTATTTTTAATTTATTTTTACTTTTATTTTTCCGCCCCCACAGGCCCGTTGTGGGTCGATGACCTGTGCTTGGGTGGGCTATTCCCCGTAAAATAAAAAAATGAAGCCTAGTTCAGTACCGTTGTATGGGTTGGAAGTGTGAACACTTAGCAGGCACCAGGAGGTTAGAGGCCTTTGAAATGTGGTGCAGCAGGATAACGCTAACAATGCATTACATGTATAAGAACACAATTGAGGAAATACCCTGTACTAAGATTGGCAAAATCATCAAGAGGAATACCGTAATTGAATTTTATAGAATAAAGAAAATTAATTACTTGGCTGTATAATTATGGATGAGAGGGTATTACAGTACTAGTAGAAATACATATAAGTAGGCAAAATTAAGGGCAGGAGGGCTAGTGGCATATGTAAGATCCCTCCATTGCTCTTGATAGTCTTTTCTCATGCTATTTTAAAGGCCTGTACTGTTCTTGATATCGTTGCTTGGACTGATAGATTGTTCCATTGATCTTCATTTATCATTGTATCTCTTGGTAATACAGGTATAGTTTATTTTGTCAATATTGCTAGATTATTAATACCATACACTGGGAAACTAAACAAAATTTCACTCGTTTATTTATTAGCAATTTTGTTAAAATTCATAACTACAAAAAAATCTTTGATTAAAGAAGCATATACTGTACAGGTACTACAGTACTAAATCATTCACAGGTTTTCCGTTATACTACAAAATAAGCCGTACAATAGACAGGTGGTCCCCGACTTACAAACGACCGCCGATACGAACAGAGTTAAACTTGAAATTAACAGTATTTTATTTACCCAATGACTTCTTTATTTACTTTCATTTACTGTATTTTGTCATTCTATTTCTTTTCTTTTTTTGTCCTAAATCAAGTGATTTTAGATGTATATAAGGACTTAGGCTATGATATAGTGGGATTTTGAACATTGTTCTGTAAGTATGGTATGCACATAGCATGTGTTCCGAATTGAGTACAAATCCGACTTAAGAACGTCCTCAGGAACGGAACCCGTCTGTAACCCGGGGACCCCCTCTATGGTTAAGTTCTTAATTATTACAAGAAATAATCATCATCTTACAAACCTATTAACCTTTTCACTATGGGGATACCACTTTTAATATTTTATTTGGCTGATGCCAGATTATTTTGTTCAGCACAGAGGGGATCCTTTACATAAGTGATTAAAATACTTGGTAAAAAGCAAATGTCTTCATAATCCGATGAAGTGATAATGTTTGTGAAGTTTGTGTACATCACAGAAAATACCTCAGTAATTCTGACTGGCACTTAGTATGAGCATTTATTTGTTGGTGCAAAGCATTACCACTTTTCCACGTCACTGAATATCAAACAGAAATCACGTACAATGAAAGACAAAAGTCGTGTCGTGAAATTTGGTGAAAACATATGCCACAGGGCTAAACTTTTGGTGTGCTCTGCCTTGTGGTAGGGGACTCTCATAATGTTTCATGAGTTATATTTAATCTTCGGACAAAACCGCGACACGAAAATTGTCTTTGATTGTACAATACACATTACTAATGTCCTTTGGTCAAGGACAATTTATCATGTACTGTGATCAAAACAGCAGTCCTCAAGTATTTTTAGAGCATTTACAAAGACTAATGAAGTTCATATAGAATATTGCAGACCATTATTGGGGTCAGACCAGAGGGGGTCCCAAACAAATAAAATGGTAAACAGTAATATTATACTCTATGACATTTCTCAAGTTTCAGGAGATACATAAAATCATACAAGGCACCATACACACCCATATGTGAGGTTTTAAGCTTACATTACATTCTAAACCAAGAGGCCAACTGAGAATGGGTACATAACTTTACAGTCGGGGAAATAAAAGGCATTAGAATACAGCACCATCCCAGCCATGCAGTTTCCTTGTATCACAGGCTTAGTCTCCAGTGTGCTGTATTCAAATTGTTCCTTAAGGGCTGTGCTGTCAGACATATGGGACCTACCAGGTATTTCAGTTTTTGGGGAGCGGGTCACCTACTCAGGGCTTGACAAATTCCTCCTGCCCCCCCCAGATAAGATTCACTGCTTTAAAACCAGGGACAAGTTGTATCATACTTCCCCCTCGACCAGGGGAATAAAGTAATACTGTACAGTATTCATAAATAACTGCCTAATGGGAGAAATACTTTTAGCAAATGGTAAATATAACATGAGTGGGAAGTGGAGTTTATCATAAGTTTCCAGGTTTGTGTATAGAAGAATGAAAAGTGCCAAAGTGAAAGTGGAAAAAGTATAAGGGCTATACACACTACAGTAGTTCATTTTTCCTCCAATCTTCAGCGCATTTTCTAAGGGTTGGAACTCTTTACTAACTGCGATTTTAAATAAAATATTTGATAACTCTTGTCTTTAACATGGTATAATTGGTACACAATACATCAGGCCCCCCGAGGCCTGATGGACCCTGATGTGGTTCATTGACCTGTGCCCAGGTGGGATAATCCCCATATAAAAAAAGACTGGTAAACATTAATGATTATTTACCTGGTAAATAAATGATTTAATGATTATTTACCTGAAGATTAATACAGGCTAAATAGTTATTTGATTCCCATTCTTACAGTATGTACCAAAACAAACTTCCCCTACTGCATGGTGCATTGCATCACCAGAATGGCAACCAGGTTAACTTATTGAGCAAATATGGGAATACCTCGCATTTTATTGTAATTTTTAGCAATGGAGCTGCTCGGCCATTGACAGCACATACTGTAATTTGTAGAATTGGTGTCTGTCGAGCCTCCTCCACTGTTTGTAGCTCTGGTGATCTAGCTTCTTAAATACACTTTGACCCTTCAAGACAGCTACCGCTGCCCCCATAAAAGTTTTTCCTCTTTTTTCGGGACCAAAACAAAGAAACAACCCGCTGCTGAAGCTTTCCCTCTTGAGTAACCTGTCGACCATGAGGGTTCTGCCATGTTTGTAGTTATGGTTTGAGGTTGGAGATGGACATATACGAGGTGCTTAAGAGACGGAGCAAATCTGACTGGACATAAGAGGAAAATACACAAGTGTGATAGCCCCTTAAGGAGGTGAAATAAAGGTGAAGTCAACAGGAGGAGTGGGCAAAATATAATGTTAGTGTACTGGTTTTTACTTTATACAGTGGTCCCTCGGTTAACGAACGGTTCGGTTAACGCAATTTTGGCTAACGAATTACCTTCCATAAGAATCTTCAATTCGGTTAACGAAAAAACTTTGATTAACGAAATCCTTATGAACATCACGTTTTGTTGTGAGCATCAGCTGATCAGCTAGTCTGCCAATTCAGTAATCTGTTCTATGTTTACATTCTTTTCCAGTGGAGTAAATATCAATAAAGTTGTGCTCTTTAATATTTTTGCATATTTTATATTAAAATTATTAGTCATTTTAACATTTATTTAACATATTGATAATATATGCAGTACAGGGAACTAATTTTTTGTGCTCCCATCAGCAGCTTGACTCAGCGACAAGGCGCCAGATTGGCTTTGTTTACAGTGGAGTGAACATCTATTTTGTTGGTGTTGGTGTCATTGAAATTGTTGGTAATTCTGAAATTTAGTTAACATATTGATAATATATAGCGCAGTGCAGTGTTGATTTAAAGAAAATAATCTTGAATTACACTTAGTGAACTTAAAATTTTATTGGTGAAATGACTGCAATAAGCATGGGTCCCCTGAAAGGTGATTTCTCCTCCATCCCCACTTCCTTCTCTTCTCCCTTCTCCTCCACCTTCTAATTCCCATCATCATCATCAACCAGGAACCTTCTACATACACACCTCAAAGTAAGTGTACTTTACTGCATTTTTTTTTACTTTGTAAGTGCTTTTCTGTGAGCTGGAACCAATTACCCAATATCCCATTGAAACAATGGATTCGGTTAACGAACGACCTTCTGGAACCAATTGTGGTCGTTAACCGAGGGACCACTGTATGTACCAATACTGTTTTTGGGATGAGTATATACTACATGATTTTGGCTACTATCTGAGCATGGGACAGGAATGAAATGCCTGTGTCGGGTAAAAAAAAATCAAATAAAATGTTCTCATTGGGACCCCTTTCCTATTTTGGGTTGGCTTCCTCCCCACTGACAGGGTAGTCAAAAATTGCAGGGGTTTACTATATGTCCTTTTTTCCATGCTATACATGTATGACTTCATTAGATTTTTTTTTTAATTACCAGGACCCCTGTACATATATTTAATGTTAACTTTCCGAGAAACATTGAATTTAAAATATTCTGAGCTGCATTATACAGTACAGGTACATACTGTTCCCTCTTTTTTGGGGTCATAACAACAGTCAGCAATTAAACACACAAATTAAAAAAAATTGAAGTATACTGTATACAATTAACAAATATTTCTAAAGTCATTGACAACATAACCAACAATTACTGTACTACTGTATAACTCATTATGATTTTTTTCATGCAATGAGGAATTATTAAGCTTTAAATTCCTTTACATAATTTGGTTTAACTGTCCAATTTGGTAGAACTTGATGTTTTAAGCTAACCCAAGCCTTGTAGTAATCATGTGCTTGACATTTCAATTCTCCATATGAAATATCACCTTGCTTAATAAGGCTATCCATGAATTCACTATGCTCACATAAGAAAGCCAGTACTCTGTGGAAGATGGCATGACGGCAAATACTGACCCAACTTTTAGGAGTGCCTCGATTCTTCTTGGTAGTGCCTAGCTTGCATCCATTAGTGGCAACCTCATGCTTGTCACCATGAATATTGCTGCTACTCCAAATGATACTGGTGGGGGATGCCATAATTTTGATTGTCTTAGAAGCATTTCTTGATACACAACTTTGAGAAAAAGGAAAATCAATATTAGAATGCAATATCACAGGTGTGACTAACTGGAATCCAAATGGAAGTTGGATATTTTTCACTTTCTCCTCAAATCTGCCTATGAGAGCCCGTTCCATTGCTTCCTGACTATAGGAGCATTTTCCAATTGTTATGGTCTCCACATATACAGGTGCATTAAGGAACAACATTAAGATTGCCCCTTGTGTACCTAAAACAGTCCATTTGAAAATCTTATCACTACAGGAGAGGGAGAGTGTGGGGTCCCCACGACCAGGCTTTGTGCGTAGAACACCAGTTACATGATAGTCAGTACCAGGCATTTTAGGATCTGGAGTTTCACCATCTATGCATTTTGCTCCTGTTCGATAGATATCTGATACTGTGTTCATCTTTCTGGTCAAACTTCTCTCAGTACTTGCCTCTGACTCTGAGGGAACATGCTGGTCATTAATAGTACTTAACTTCTTTACAAATTCTTTCCGAGATGTTTCTTCCACATTGTTGGTCTTCTTCACACAGACATTAGTAGAATCTTCAAGGTTTTCTTCTTCACTGGCATTAATTGTATTTACACTTACTTCATTGGTCTTAATTTTTTTTAAAGGTGGTTCCCCATCATCAATACCTGAAAAAATTTCTTCCGAATTTGTTGAGTCTTCCCCCTTCAAGTTAGAGATTTTACAGTTGTTGGAAGGGTTTTTCACTGTGGTGTCCTCTATGTTTTGCCCAAAACACTCTCCCCATTCCTGCTTGGGGAAAATAGATGCGTCACCACACGGAGTGTGGCTGGCATAAAAATGGAAACTAATGCCTGTCTTGAGTTTAAACTTACCATCTTTCTCCTCAAATATACTCACCAGACCTTTTGAAGCTTTGTCCACTTGATCAAGGAGATAAACCATAAAAGCTCTCCTTGCAATAACCTCTGCATGGCTGTCATGAATGACATCCCCTCTGGCTGGCAACTGCTTTGCACCAATACACTTTGACCCTGTTCCTAAAGCTACAACCTCTAATGCCTGGCTGTGATGGTCCTCTTTCAAGAAACAAGACAGTAGGGTCCATTCTGTATTTTCTTTTGGTTTACCGGTCTTTCCGAGGCTTTTAAATTTTGAAATGCAGGTTTTTGTAACTTCATCTCCAAAAATTTTCTCATATTTATGAATCATCTTCTTCATTTAAAAAAAATTAATTATTCTATAAATTTTCTAATAAAATATATTGTACAGTATATAGTACGTAAAGAATGATTATTAGTTGAAAAAGCCAAATGAATTAGTCTTGTCTAATGCAACATTGGATCAGAGTAATCATCATTCATTTCTGAGTCATCATCTTCTTCTTCATCATCATCATTGTCATCATCATCATAGTCATCATCATTGTCATCTTCTTCATCTTCACTATACTGTTCAGCAGCACTCTTTCCAATGGGCAGAATATCACCCCCCTTTTGCTGGATGCTCTGAATCTGTGTCTGATAATGCTGCTCTTGCTCCTGCAAAGGAATATGTACAAGAATAAAATACTGTGTATCCAGAAGTTTTATGCATGAGCATAACATGCAGTGGCGTGTCGTGAGAAAATGCTAGGGTAAGCAAATGACGCTTTCTTACTTGTAAAGTCACGAGATCTAAAAGAATTCTTTAGTAGATCACATACAGTCTGTGATCTAAAGAATTCTTTAAGATCTCGTGACTTTACAAGTAAGAAAGCGTCATTTGCTTACCCTAGCATTTTCTCACGACACGCCACTGATAACATGAGTTATAATGCACTGTATACTGTAGTGCACAATTATGTCAAGATTAAAATGCAATATGTTCCCCTTCATTAACTAATTGAAAGTAATCACCTTCATCCAACTTTACCTTATCTATTAAATCTTCTCTGCTCATAACAAGCTAAAGAGAAATGAGTACACCAAAGCTCATAAAAAGTTAAAAAATATATTTATCCTCATGCTGAGTAAATTAATATGATTGAAGCCTTCCAGTATTCTGGAGTGCTTCATTATTATTCAATTTGTTCAGTAAGTTGATTTGCCAAAGAGACTTCTATAGTTTTCTACATACAGTACTGTATAGGTAATATCACATAAAAACTTTTCTCCACTGGGAAATATGAAGCAAGTTACTGATATTCAAATAGAATTTGTTTAAATTTATTAATCATGGTTTTAATAATTGCAAGTATTAAATGGTGCATTAAAATTATGCAATATAAATGTTTTTTTCTAGTTTTTATCCATTTTAAGAAAAGTGCAAACAATAACTGAGAAAAAATACCAGTTTGGAAGTGACTCTTTACAGGACGGTCTGGGAGACAATATTGAGCAGAGAGGATGAGACTCAACTCAACAAACATACTTATAGTAGAACCTCTGTACACTGGAAATGACTTTATTTGGACTCTGAGGTGCTATGGACTGCCCCTCTATTCACCAGTCTGGATGGTTTCTGAGGCTTGCCGCACGTGTCTGAAGTCAAATCCTGCCTTCATACTTATTGTATCAGTGTACCGCACCTCGCTACCTACACTCATTTACGTGAATTTTTTATGAAGGGTACATAATATTATCTTTAATGGGGATACTTGAGGGTTTTAAGAAATGGGTAAAATTATGTAAAATACTGTACCTATTTCAAGAAATTGGCAAAATAAAAAAATGGCTTATGAAAAGAACAATACTTGCTCACTGAATAATGTACAGTGGTCTAATCAAAGATGCTGTAAGCCTAAAGGTGCATTCACATTTGCGTACATTTTGTCGCCAACGTGATCAACAAGAGGAAACATCGATCTAGTGCACGCAGCCACACCCTACGAGATATGGAACCCTGTGCCTCATATGGATGCATCTTTACAAAAGCTAAGACAGTGCACATGTAAACAGGTTGGGGGTGGTGGGGGTCATGCCAGGTGTTGCCACAATTGTCAGATTTATTTATTGATTCAATATTATATTCTAATATGATCAGCCTCTTATGGTGTATGATTCAACATAAAGATAATTAATATAACATCGTCAACAATAGAAAAAATACAATACCTGGTATGTAATTTGACTTGAAAATAAAATGACAAGCTGTATCGGAAAGAATTCACTCAGGATGCAATCCAGGAGAGAGAGCTTTCATCAAATTAGCTTTCAGGAGAATTTATTATAACAGACTGTGCTGTACAGTATACTGTATTTGATATGGAGATACCTTCCTAACAACATTATTTATTACCTTTAACTGGCATATGATGGCTCGATTTGGTTACTTGTGCAATTAAACAACTGATTAATGAATAAATCAGGGAATATGCAGATGCATTATACACTACAACAGTATTGTACTCGGGCATTTTTCTATAGTAAAAAGCAATTACTACTGACCTCAGAATACATCCTAATATCAAGTGCACATCGCTTCAAAATGGCCTCAAAATGCCCATGATATTGGTCAGATTTAAAAGAAAAATTCTGGGGATCCCCCAGCTGGGTGAGCTCGCTCTGCTCGCCATGTTCCCTCACCCACAACTTCTTGGACCCACCCCCCTTTGATATTTCTGGATCTGGCCCTGTACTGTACAATATTATTTATAAAGTGTGTGATAAATACACTCCATTATTATTTACTAAGTGTGGGGGACCTAGGACAATCAGCTGTTCGTGCTTTAGAAACAAAATACCAGGAATTTAATAAGATTCAATGAATCGCCTGGGGCCGAGAGTGGGATTTTTTCTCGGGAAAGTATATTATTTTACAATAATGTTGTATCAACCTGGAACCAAATGAACCTAAATAATATGGGAATTATGGTGAAAGTGTATAATAAAGACGTGTTAAAGGGGCCGATCACATCCCACTGGGATGATTGTCTGTTTTATGCTATTTAATGTAACTTAACCATTTAACCAAGATAGTAAAATATAAGATTAAACAGACGATCGTCCAAGTGGGATGACACCAAAGGGTCCTGGGGAGGGAGCCACCCACCTGCATTACCTCCCACCTGTTGCTCCCAGATGTACCCTCATCTTCCAATTTTTTTCTTTTTTCATAAGGTGCATGAGCACATCAAAATTATTTTTCCACAAATTCTGTACTGTAGTTACCAGTACTTACATAATACAGTAATTTACAGTCATAACGGTGAAAATATTTTACAGCCACTATCTCCGATTTTCTTTAAACGGTCTAGATGTGCAGGGGTTTTTTCTCTCCAAACTGGGGTCTGCTCCAATTAGTCCAGTGTATCGAGGTATTACTGTACAGGCATCCCTCTATATATAAAAATTCGCTTATACGAATTTCTGAAATTACCACGTCTATTTTGTGTTACAAAAACTTCCCCCATTTATACAAATTTGGGTACTGGTAAAAATTCAAACTGCACACCCCGGCTGAGGGAGGAGTTATGTTATGGTTATGTTTAAACTTGTAAATTTGTGTATACACTGTACCTGTATACACATATCTTTCTTCATATTTTTTTCATTCAGTGTACATGCATGGAATCTTACATACAGAATGTGTAAAACTATAAATAAATACTGTAATTATCATAAGGTCAAAAACATAAAGGGAAAAAACCATTTCTTCTTGCAGCACCAAGAGTTAGCAAGATAAGCAGAGGGGAGTTATTTTATGATTATTTTTCAACACGTAGTTTTAGATAGATCACTTCAACTTTCTTCACTATTTTTGTTACTCTGTTACATGCACACACACAATCCTACATTCATAATGTGCAAAAAAATAAATAAATAAAAAATCATAAGGCAAAAAGCATAAAGACAATAAATATTTCTTTGTGTGTGTAAGTGGGGAGAGAGCGTTGCTAAGGGTCTGCAGATGCAGCTGGGCTGCGTTGCTATGGCGACTCTTGAAGCGGCCAGGATTTATGTAAATGGGGTTGCTGTTTTAAAATTTGATTTAGCTTTTCTTTAATAGTTTTAGCTGCATATTTTCATGTAGATATTATTAATAAAATTGTTAATGTGTTAGATAGTAAACTACAGTAGTTGTGTACTATTTATCATTAATTAGGTAGGCGTTTTCTCGTTTGTGAGCCGATTTCATGTTTTTGGGGTATTTTTGTCATTCGGGAACTGAACCATATTTCCCCATTTGTTCTGTTATTCAAGAAACAAAAATTTACTTTACAAATGCTCTTTTCTTTTCTTTTTAACCTAACCCCTCCTTCTATCGAGGGATGCCTGTATGAGAAAGAATAGAAAGAATAAAAGGAAGAAGACAAAAGACTAGAAAACAACAATACAGTGGTCCCTCGGTTAACGAACGCCTCGGTTAACGAAATTTCGGTTAACGAACTGCCTCCCATAAGATTCTAAAATTCGGTAACGAACAAAAATTCGGTTAACGAATTTCTTACAAACTGACCTCAACATGTTTTCGCTTGCACTGGCCGGTCAATCAGCTTTAGTATTAGTCCGCCAATACATTAATCGCTTCTAGGGCTTAAATTCCTTACTATTTTAGTAAATATCAAGAAGTTTATACTATTCAAAAATTTTAAAAGTTTAATATTCAATTTTTTAGTCACTTTAACAATTATTGAACATAATTGAAGGCAAAGTGACTAGTTTAATGCGCGGCATCCAGCCTCTTAACACAGCAAACAGGCGTTAGTCTCTCTCTGTTTTCACTGGAGGTAACATCTTGCTTGAGACTCTCTTCAACTAAACGCTTTTTTTCTGTGTTTCCAAGCAAATTATTGGTCATTTTGAAATATATTTTACATATTGACAATATATAATGCAGTGCAGTGTTGATTTAAAGAAAGTAATCTTGAAATACACCAAGAGAACTAAAATTTTATGGGTGAAATGGTGCCATGGGGTGACTTCTCTTCCACCCCAATGCCTTCTCTTCTTCCTTTTCCTCCACCCCCATTCTAATTCCCATCATCATCATCCTCATCCAGGAGTCTTCTACATACACACCTCAAAGTAAGTGAACTTTTCTACCATTTTTGTTGAATTTAGGCAATTTTCGGTGAGCTGGAACCAATTACCCAAAACCCATTGAAACAATGGTTTCGGTTCACAAATTTTTCGGTTAACGAACAACCTGCTGGAACGGATTGTGTTCGTTAACCGAGGGACCATCGTACGTATACAAAGAATAGGAATAGTGTAGCAATAATTCAACAGGTGTTGTGGATCTATCCACAGGTAACCATTATAAATTTGTCTAACACCTATCCTTATGGAAAATAATTTCTAAATACCGGTACTGTACTATACATACAAGCACTACATTGTAATTATAGTACACTGTACACCCCTTTGACAACCACTACACATCCTTACCTTGAGCTCCAGGGCAAGGTCAACAGGCTTGTCTACCTGAAACCATGCTGGGTCCACGAGACGAGGAGTCAGACTTGGGTATAGTGGAAGTTGAGCCATTATGTCAGGAGATTTTTAAACAGATTGATAAAAAAATTCAGCATCTGTATCTCTGAAAGGTTTTCATTCTTAGACTGCTATTCAAGATTATAGATTCAATTTACTGCACGTACAGTAGTAAGGTCAGTGTAACAATTATACAGTATTGGTAACTAAAATACAACTAATGGATCCCAGGCGTATTTTTTGTTTATGTTTAAATTGGAGAGAGCCTCCAAATCCTCTGCACTTAAATCAAAGTCCAACTGGATATTTTCTCTGATGTGCTCCTCATTAGTGGATTTAGGAAGAATACCTGTAAGGGAGAAAAGATAACTTATTAATTCCCTTATCATATTCAAAACCCACTGATGTTAAATACTGTATACAGTACAGTGGTCCCTCGGTTAACGAACACAATTCGTTCCAGAGATAGTTCGTTAACCGAAAATTTCATTAACCGAAACCATTGTTTCAATGGGATTTTGGGTAATTGGTTCCAGCTCACTGAAAATTGCATACAAAGTAAAAAAAAATGCAGTAAAGTACACTTACTTTGAGGTGTGTATGTAGAAGGCTACTGGTTGATGATAATGATGGGAATTAGAAGTGGGGGTGGAGGAGAAGGGAGAAGAGAAGGAAGTGGGGGTGGAAGAGAAATCACCCCATGCTTGATGCCATCATTTCACCCATAAAATTTTAAGTTCACTAGGTGTAATTCAAGATTATTTTCTTTAAATCAACACTGCACTGCACTATATATTGTCAATATGTTAAATAAATTTCAGAATGATCAATAATTGTACTGTAAAAACGTAAAAATACTCTGTGTTCAAGAGACCCACACGCAAGATGTTTCCTTCACTGAACAGAGACACAACTGAGGCCTTGGTGGGTGAGTGATGTGGCTGTTGGGCACACCAAAAACTAGTTCCCTGGACTGCAATTATGTTAAATAAGTGTTAAAATGACTAAAAATTTTAATATAAAACTTGGAAAATTATTGAATAGTACAACCTTTTTGATATTTACTCCAATTTTAACGAATGTAAGCCCTAGAACCGATTTCTATATTGGCGGACTAATCTTCCAGCTGGTGAGCAAGCCAAAGCATGTCGAAACATGTCGAAACATTTTTGTAAGAATTTCGTTAACCGAGGGACCATTGTATATATATTCTGCTGACATTGAAATAATTTTCCATTTAAACCATCTAAATCACTTAGAGACATGGATGACAACTAAGGTTTTCCAATGCACATAAATATTCTATCAATTGTGCCAAAATGAAGAGACTAAAGACAGCAGATGCATGAGGTAAAGCAAATGACAATGACCTCTAGAGATATACTGTATTGTACTGTGCATGCTTGGAAGTTACATTAAGCTGCCATACTACTCAAATAAAATACACTTGTACAGTAATCCGATTAATGATTGAAATAAATTTCTCTATCATTCTCAATCCTTTCTGGGACTTCTGCACCTTTATGCTGGGTGGAGCAAGAGGTGCAGAGGTCTCAAGGTTATAATAGTGTACCAAAATAAACCCACTTCAAGCCTTACCCCAGTACAGTATACATGTACTGTACATTAATAAAATGCAATCTAAATGAAAATATGCAGCTAAAACTATTAAGGAAAAGCGAAATCAAAGTCTAACACAGCTGCTAGTGGTGCCATTTGCATAGACACTGGCTGCTTCACGTGTGCCTGCTCTTAAGCTATAGCAACCAGCTTGGCCGCCTCTGTTGACTTTTAGCAACGTTCCCTCCCACACTGTCACACACAAAGAAATTTTTATTCCCTTTATGTTTTTGACCTTATGATAGTTATTTCATGTACTTTTTTGCACATTAAGTATGTAGCATTGTGTGCCCATGTAATTGAGTAAAAAGAAGTGAAGAAACTTAAGACTATCTATCTGAAACTACAAGTTGAATATAATCATTACATATCTCCCCCCAGCTCATCCTGCTAACTCTCACTGGTGCACAAAGAAATATTCATACCCTTTATTTTTTCCACATTCTGATGCAAATGGTAAACCTGACCTCTACAATTCTTTAATATTTTTTCAAGTCCTCTTTATAGCACAAGGTTTTCAACAAGTGATCTAGGAGGTACTTCCACTAAGACAACCCCTGTGTGGGTCTTCCCTTGGTAGGGGACTTTACATGTTCAAATAGTACAGTATGTTGTACAATACTGTCCAGTGGATCAGTTAGTGCTGTAAACAGTTTCTCTATTAGTGAAGCAGTATAGAAGCAAAGCTTGGAACTCCAAGTCCATTGCTTACTTTAACCTCTGGGCTTCGGGCTATGGTCGGTAAACCCCCTGGTCATAGTCGCCCCTGATGTTTGCCTTAACAATGTAAAAGATGTCTCTAGCAACTGTGCTCCACCACAGACCCTCCGACCAAAAACATACACAGTTTCACAGTGGAAACTCATAGATACTTAAAACTTTATATTGTATTATAATTATTTGATTTATTTTCCACTTTCTGTACATAAAAGAAAGAAGAAAATTACAGTGGTCCCTCGGTTAACGAGATTTCGGTTAACGAGTTACCTTCCAAAAGATTCTTAACTTTGGTTAACGTGCAATCCCTCAATTAACGAGTTTCTTACGAGCCGACCTCAACATGTTTTCACTTGCATTTGGCAGTCCACCAGCTGTAGTATTAGTCCACCAATACAGTAATCGGTTCTAGGGCATATATTCCTTACCATTTTAGTAAATATCAAGAAGTTTATACTATTCAATAATTTTTAAAGTTTAATATTAAATTTTTCATTTTAACAATTATTGAACATAATTGAAGGTAAGGAAACTAGTTTTATGTGCGCCATCCAGCCTGGCAACACACGAAACAGGCGCCAGTCTCTCTGTCTTTTCAGTGGAGGTAACATCTTGCTTGAGGCTCTCTTCAACTAAATGCTTTTTTTCTGTGTTTGCAAGCAAATTATTGGTCATTTTGAAATTTATTTTACATATTGACAATATATAATGCAGTGCAGTGTTGATTTAAAGAAAATACGCATAATCTTGAATTACACCAAGAGAACTAAAATTTTATGGGTGAAATGGCACCATGGGGTGACTTCTCTTCCACCCCAATGCCTTCTCTTCTCCCTTCTCCTCCACCCCCATTCTAATTCCCATCATCATCATCATCATCCAGGAGCCTTCTACATAAACACCTCAAAGTAAATGTACTTTCTACCTTTTTTGTTGAATTTAGGCAATTTTCAGTGAGCTGGAACCAATTACCCAAAAACCCATTGAAACAATGGTTTCGGTTAACGAGTTTTTCGGTTAACAAGCAGCCTTCTAGAACGGATTGTGCTTGTTAACCGAGGGACCACTGTATGTGTATCTACCCAAAATTACATAAACATATATATATATATATATATATATATATATATATATATATATATATATATATATATATATATATATATATATATATATATATATATATATATATATATATATATATATATATATATATATATATATATATTACAATGTACAATGGGATAAGGGAAGAGATGAGGGGTATCCACTGGCCTGACTCATTAAGACACAAGAACGCAGACACTACGCTGAATATCATAACTAGTAAAGTGACCCATTTGATCAATAAATATATACCTAAGACCAAACCCAGTGCCTCTAGGAATACGAGGGGATCCCTACACATGAACCATGCGGCGGTAGACAGAGTTAAGAAGAAAACCCAGAAATTCAAGACGTGGATTGGGTCAAACGATGAGCAGGACAGGAGGATGTATGCAAGAGCCAGAAACCAAGCAAAGATTGAGTGTAGAAGGGCTGAAAAGGAGTTCCAGAGGCTGGTTGGAAGCGAGGTCAAGTCAAACCCAAAGGTGTTTTACCGCTATGCAAAGTCGAAATTAAAAACGCGAGTAGGAGTATCAGACCTGAGGCCTGAAGATGGTAGTAACGCAGATTCTGACAGGATAAAGCCGAGACACTGAACAGCTTCTTTTCCTCGGTGTTCACAAGAGAGGATGTGATTAACCGTTCTGCGCTTGAGGACAGACGGTTTGACACAGCACTGACCCACATTGTGTTCACAGAAGAGGGTATTAGAAATAAACTGTCAAAGCTAAAGGTCCATAAGAGTCCCGGCCCTGACATGGTGCATCCTAGAGTCCTAAAGTGCTAAGAGAGTTGTGCAACGAGCTTGCCGAGCCCCTGAAGATCCTGTTTTGTAAATGCACTGGATGAACAAAAGGTCCCCAGTGAATGGAAAGTGGCTTATGTGAGTCCTATCTTCAAGAAGGGCGATCGTCACTCCACGAACAACTATAGACCAGTGAGCCTGACCAGCATAATATGTAAAGTACTTGAGAGTATTATCAGAGATGCAGCGATGGAACATCTATTACAAAACAACCTTGTAAAGGATTGCCAACACGGTTTTATGCCGGGACGCTCCTGCTTAACACAGTTGCCCCGCTGTTGCTTGTTTGTTTCATAAATGACACGCCTGACGTTGTACACTCCTCCATGCAAATGTTTGCCGATGACGCCAAGTTATTTCGGGAAATCAAGAACCAAGCGGACTGTGAAGAGCTGCAGAAGGACCACTGCGGGCTCCAAGAATGGTCGAAGAAATGGCTGCTGAGATTCAATGTCACGAAGTGTAAGAGGATGCACCTGGGGCGTACCAATGGTAAGGAGGCGTATCATATGTCCCAACAGGATGAAGAAACTGCCTTATTTGAGACTGAATGTGAGAAGGATCTAGGTGTGCATGTTGACAATGAGCTGAAGTTCTCAGGCCATTGCGAGAAGAAGGTAAATCAGGCAAATAAATTATTGGGCCTTATAAGAAGGTCGTTCAGATATCTAGACGGTCCATCCCTCGTAACGATCTTCAAGAGTGAAGTGCTTCCCCATCTGGAGTACTGTCACCCCGTCTGGTCCGCGAGATATGCTTGGGACTGTCAGTTGGTTGAAAATGTTCAAAGGAGGGCCACCAGACTGGTGCCTGCACTTCGGCACCTCAGCTACCCTGAGAGATTGGAGCGCCTGAACTTGCCTAGCTTATACTACAGACAGGCAAGGGGTGACCTAATTGAGGTGTATAAGCATCTCAAGGGGCACTACTCAGTTGAGTGTCCTTAATTGGAGCTGGCGGACGCTCGCCCCACAAGGGGTCACAGTTCAAGATTGAAGAAGCTGCAAGTCCAGAAAACTGTGAGGGCAAACTTTTTCGGAGTGAGAGTTGTGAACTCTTGGAACAATCTACCAGAAAGTGTTGTGAGAGCACCGAGTGTGACGTCTTTCAAGACAAGACTTGACCAACACTGGAGTAGGTTCAGGTACATTCAGGAGCCGGTGCATGCCCAGTAATTGCCAACAGTGTGTAACAGAGACGTGACCGATCACCCAAGCGGCTGACGAGCCGATCATTTGGTGAAGAGGATAAAAGAAAAGGAAAAGTAACAGACATGACTGATTGCCCAAGCGGCTAACGAGCCGATCAGTGGTGAAGAGGATAAAAGTAAAAGTTGGAGATCCATAACCCGAGTCAGTCAGTCACAACATTCTGGAACAAAAATTCTACTTGAACTAAGTCAGTCAGTTATGGGTATTGGGATGACTGGAATTTTATAGTCTCATGGGTTAGAGCCTTCATAAATTATCTTCATGGTAAAAATTTATACAGTATTTTTGAAATTTCATGATACACCAAATTATTCAATACTGACCAACACCCTGTTGTGTAGCCCAACGGAGCAACACCTGGGCAGGAGAACGTGACAGCCTACTGGCTACACTGGTGACCTTTTGGTCCTGTAACAGTGGGCTCTCCTTCACTGTGGTTCCCAGGGAGGAATACGCTTGAAAGGTAATTCCTTGGCTGCAACAAAACTGCTTCAGTTCACTTTGAAGATAATGTGGGTGGTACTCCACCTGTAGGCAACAAAGGACATGGTTCACAAATCACTACAGACAAAAGAACTGTGATGGTTCATGGGACCACTGTGTGACACTACGGTACTGTAGTGGGTATCTTTCCTTTGTAACTTTATTACTTTTTGGAATGCTTTTTCATATACAATAAAAATCGAATATGCCTAGCACCAGTTTATTAGAGATGAATAAGGAATCTGCCTTTACTTAAATAAAGTAAAATGTGTTTGACAGATCATTGAAATGTACTGTACAGTATATAATAAACATTTTCAAGAGGATAACACAAAAGCTTGGAGAAAAATTTAAACCTATGAGGAGGGTTCCATCTGTGCTTCCCTTAACATGAGTTTCCTTGTCCTTAAATCATGCTTGTCTTCGACAAAACATCAGAAATTTTTACCTGGTTTACATGAGGCACAACTGAAGCATGCTGGAGCAGATCTTTCAGCTGAGCCACAGAATAATTTGAAACACCTATGGCACGAACTTTGCCAGATTTGTAGATCTCCTCCAGGGAAGCCCAACTCTGATTCCGCAATTCTCGGTTTTTTGGGTCTTCAGGCTATTAAGAGAAACAGCTAGTATAAAAGTATTTCTTAACCTGGCAATATACACATAATGGAACAGAAAATTTGAACCAAAAAAATAATCAGTGATTTTAATGCACGTTATAAAAAAAAAATCCACTTGTTTATTCTTATGAAGACTAGATAAATACAAGAATATTGTATTCTGATTATTTGTAGAATTTTACCATCTTATTGTTATATCATCTATTAATAATTTCTAGTTATAAAAACCCTGAAATGAGCTTCATGTAATGGGCTTAAAATTTTAGAACTGGTAAAAAAAAAATTATTCAAAATTTCAATACAATATAATTATACCCCCGTAATGTACACAAGATGTTAAAGACTGCAGCGTATCTTTGTCACTTTATTATACTGTACTGTAATATAGCTGTGGAACCAGGTGTTGACAGTTTTGCTTTTGAGGGGCAGCTCATAGCTATGTGTGTGACTACACTATCATCTACACTACATCAACTACACCACCATCTTCACTACATTCACTACACTATTGCACTGTGACTCTCTTCTTCCTCCCCTCTATTTATTTATTTTTAATGTTTTATCTTTTTAGCCCAATCTAAAAGAAGTATGCATGCAAAGTTTCATGTCCCTAGGTTTCATGGTCTTGGGGCTACAGCACTGACTGACATACGCTCGCACTAACGCACGCACGCACGCACGCATGCATGAATTACACCACGTGAGGCCCTCATAACACCATCTGTGAGGGAATTACTACACCACGTGAGGGCATAACACCATCAATTACTACACCACGTGAGGCCCCTCATAACACCATCTGTGATGGAATTACTACACCACGTGAGGCCCCTCATAACACCATCTGTGAGGGAACTACTACACCACGTGAGGTCCCTCTTAACACCATCTGGGAGGGAGTTACTACACTACGTGTTTGCTGTTCAACACCTACATTAATCTGTATGTTCACTGTATGTTCCTTCACCTTTCTCTAATGAAGGCTTTTGTTAAACCACCAATGTATGTAATAAGTCATTCATGTCCAATGTATATTTTCAGCCTTCGGGCTGCAGAACTTTTCAATAAACCGTTAATTATTATTATTATTATTTATTATTACATGCACACACACACACACACACACAGTATTGTACTGTGAATAATAATACAGTACAGGTACAGAAATATCTAAACCTAAGCATTTGTTAATCACTTAACACATTTAATATAAAGCCATCAAACTTATATAAAATTATGTCTAAACTTCACCTTGAGATTCTTGACTCCAGGCCAGTGAATTAAGAACAGGTCAAGGTAGTCGAGCTTCAAGTTGGAAAGAGATAAGTAAAAAGCTTCTTTGCACTTCTCTCGCCCCTGATCACTAGGACCTAGAATTATACACAGTTCCATACCTGTATTACTGTAGTTTTATACACTGAAAATCTCTAATTACACATTAAAAAGTCTCTCACATGTACAGAGAGCAATAAAAAATTGATGTTTGAAAACCAAAATACCGTAATTAGGAATTTTTATGACTATCTTCAGATTTATGTTGTAACCATAACTTATAACAGAGCTTTTAATGTGTGAGAAACATGGAAATTTTTGAGAATGATGAGAGTTAAATCAGAGCAAAAGTTGTTAGTATATTTATGGTTTGAGAATAGCTGAACAGAAACGAACTCTTTAGAAGTTTTCATTGATTCATTTGCAGTTCAAATTCAAATATCTAAGTTCTCCAGTTTAGTTAGTAACTGCAAACTATGTTAAAATTTCTTGTTATTTTAGATGCCCACCATATATGATATTAAGAAGCAATGTGATGAACTCGTAACGTTCGCATGGTATTATCTTTTTCCCTTTTTTTCTTTTTAACGGGGAATAGCCCGCCCAGACACAGGTCACCGACCCACAATGGGGCAAAAAAATAAAAGTAAAAAGAAATAAAGAATAAAAAATAAAAAGATTACGTATATTAATCTACAACACGAAGATGTCCGAAAACCAGCTTTTTAAAGTGAGACAGATTGTATGAGTATGGAAACACAGAAGGCAGAGTATTCTACAGTTTGGCTGTGTGAGGAAAGAAGGATGTACTATAATGGGTTATTCTTGTATGACAGACATCCACAGAGAAAAGGTGGGCACCGCGGGCAAGATGAGTGTTACGAGCCCATAGCCTTGTCGGCAGTACTGTACAGTACACTGGATGCTAAATCCACCGAACATACCTATGAACAGCAAGGCTCTACTGAGATAACTTTACTGGATTCTTTTACCATGCTTTTGATTGTGTCACTTATAGCTAGGGAGTACGGTACAGTACTGTATTCATGTAAGGCATTTCTTCCTTTTAAGATTTAAATTATAATTGTCTTAACTAGTGATAAAAATTATTATTAATTACCTATTAGGATGGTGCTTGTGAGCAGTTTGTTCATTACATAAATCTGCCATGACCTTTAAATTCTTCCTTGGGGAATGAAAAGTATATATTCAGTGATATCTCCGTTAGCTGGAACAATTGGTGAAGAGCACTTCCGGGAATGAGAGATTTCCAGGAAACGAGGCGACTCTCAAAGCCGGAAAAAATCTATCCCCAGAATTTTCTGGGTAATGGAAAAATTTTCTCAGAAGTTCAAGAATTACCCATTACATCATCTCTCAAACCTGGAAAAATATCCCCCATCCTCGGAAATTTACAGGTACAGTGTACCGGAAAAATTTACTCGGAATTTCCGGAAAATGTGTCTGATTTTCATCCCTCAAACCCAGAAAAAACTCCCCTATCCCCAGAATTTTGCAGGTATCGGGAAAAATTTATCGGAATTCTTAGGAAAATGTGCCCCTCGGAAAACCATTCCCAAAGGTCAAATTTTCCGGAAATTTACGTCTTTGAGAACGATTTTCTGAGAAAATTTCAATTACGGCTATCGGAGAGTTCTGGGTTTGAGGGATTCTGGCTATATGAGATATTACTACTGTACTGTATTGCACATAACTTCAATTTAAGTATTTATCTATGTTTAATTTGTGACTTTATTCGTAACTTATTTTCTTGTGCATATGGGTGTTTTTTATATTTAGTTCCAGGGCAGTTAGCTATATCATTAGTTTACTTGCTATCACAAACTCTTTAGAATTTTTAGCTTCTAAACATTGATTTTTTCTTCACATACTGTATTCACCTTTTGAATAGTCATATTCAGTACAGTACTTTAAGTCATATTTTGGCAAGTCTGTCTCCATCCTTTAGTAACTGACATTTGCTTCATGATTAGTTTAACTCAAGATTGTTTCCCAGTAGAAAGTGGAACTTAGTTCACAGCTAGCATGGTGACACTAATACTTTACTTGAAGAGATTTGATCAGTCTTTTTACCACTCAGAATTTTTCATCTTCTACAGAAAGATTTTCTTATTTTCACTCTTCTTACCAGCCTATATTAATGTACACTAGCACCAAAAAGTATCGGTACAGGGCGAGATCGACGAGTTCCGAAACGATACATATACACTGTGATGTCGGGAAGGTTGGTAAGTGTATCCTCATAACCCCCCCCACCCTCCTCCACTAGGTGTTGCCATATGGCTGACAATCAGGGCTGCCAACATACGGCTGGAACAACTCGCCTTTCCCAATACCTATCGTCACTGGTCTCAAATTGTTCACACTACAGGACGCACCGATACCTTTTGTTGCGAGTGTACAATGTGCATGGAAGGTTCATGGATTTCTATCCATTACTTTCTTATCTGAGCCTTTTTATCAGTTTCATGGAGTGAATAGTTTTTGTTTTTTCAATAACTACCAAACACTGTGTATACCTATTCTGATTGGACCAATGCCTTTATAAGATGACAAATTATTTTGTCCAAATCAGAACTACTGTATGAGTTTCACACTCTAATCTTGAGTCATCATCAACCTGTTTGGTACTGAACAGTTCATAAAGTTAATTTTCCACATAAGGCACAAGACATATCATTTGTAGGCCATGAAACAAAGATTAACCATGGAAATCCCATTTCATGGCAGAGGGGAAGAGTCAAGTACTGTAATTTGGAATCTCCTCTTCTCTCTAGGTGGGGTTCCTAGTCAATGGGGAAAAGGTGAGGATTGCACTTCACAAGTCCAATTTATGACAGAGTTCCAAATCACAAGACCTGGCAAGGGACTTGTTCATCTGTACAGGTATGAAACCAGGGTTTTACTGCACAGATTTCTAAGTCAGAAAAACAAGATTTTTTTTTTCATGAAAACCTTTATTCCCAACACATCACAGAATAATCAGGACCTGATTTAATCACAGTTACAGTATCAACAAAGACATAAGTGACACAACAGCCTACAACTGGATTGTTGGGTTGAAGTATCTACTGTATCAGAGCTACATGGCAGTGTGGCTGCCTAACTACTGTTATGTCTAATTAAGAAATAAAAAACATCACCCTTGCACCTCAACTGATTGTAGTTACCGGTACACTACAATGGCAAAGCACCCAAACATATATTGCCAGACTAGTTTGAAATATTCTAATGCAGTAAATTCTAAGAAGCAAATGTACTGTATTGTAATACAGTACTTGCATTGAGGTGAAGAAAATATGTCACAAGAATAATTGTTTTAACACAAAAAGCTTGAATTAGTGAATTCGGTAGCTTGTCCCTTGAGTGGCCAAACTGCTTTCTTAACTATACATCTGGAGAATAAAGTAAAAGCATTAGAGCATCTAAACTTGTGTCTATTGTTTTTCTTAAAAAATTTATACCAAAAATAAATTCTTATAACCAATCAACTTTAATATAGATAAGAACATAAGATGCAGATCAATCCCATGACTTTTCCTTAAGAATCTGGAGGCATCATGAATGATGTACCTAATAGAACTTTTGGAAACACTCACTCGCACAAATGCTTCCTCCAAGTAAAATTTTGGAGTGATGATTATGCCATTTATGCCATACTGACCAGAGGGTTAAAAGGCTACTACACAGGGTGATTATTTTATTCGAGAACTCTAAATAATTCCCATACACCAAAAAGCTTACCCGGTATCAGTTAGGAACCTAATATTTCCGTAAATGTACCCAAATGTAACAAAGACGTGACATGATCCTGAGAGTTATCAGGTACCACGTGCCCTATCAGTAGCATTTAATGGTTTTCACTCAGTCAACACTATGGTAATGACTGAGTGACATTATACATTTACACAAAATATTAGGTTCCTAACTGATATGCTTTTTGGTGTATGGAAATTATTTAAGATTCTCGAATAAAAAGATCACCCTGTGTAATAGCCTCTAAGTCTAAACCATCTGGTCAGTATAGCCATACATGATACAGCAGAACTGTAAAATGAGGCAGTAGTAAGGCTGGATCAGTTTAAAATTCCCCATGCACTGCCGCACTACAGTTTTGAATCAAAGGGCTATCCCACATGGCTACTGGGCAATACAAATTATTTTATCTGCTTAATGCTTCAGTTATACAGAAATAATGAGATGGAAATAATTTGTCAGTATGTATATAAAAAAAAAAAAAAAAAAAAAAAAAAAAAAAAAAAAAAAAAAAAAAAAAAAAAAAAAAAAATAATAATAATAATAATAATAACAATTGTTACAAGTTTCTGATAAGGAGTGGATCCTTATTACTGTTCTGACCCGTCCCAACGACCAGGTCATAAGTCGAATTGGTCATAAGTCGAAAAGGCGAAAATAATACATAGAAATTCTAAAATGGGTGTCTCTTTTTCTTCTCAGCACCACGAGAACTCTCACTTTTATGCTTGCCAGCCATTTTAAAGGGAATTACAAACGAAAATTTTGTCAGTACACAGCGCGATCACTAGCGTCTGTACTAGTAAATACGTAATTTGAAAAATATTTTCTAAGACAACAGCGGTCGTTTGTCCGGGTTGTCGTAAGTCGAGTATGTCATAAGTCGAGGAGTACCTTTAGAGTATAAACAAACAATCACACTTCGAGAGGCCTTGAATATGAAAATTTTCATGGCCATGGAATTTGTGGACCTGAAATAGGTGAAAAGATGCCCTAAACACAATTTCTAGGATGCATTTTGGTGTAGTTCACACTACAACTCTCAGGCTGTGTGTAAGAGTGAATTAATAGCAAAGAATATACCCCCACCTCCAAACACCACATCCGTAAGAGAAACAACAAACACCATAACCATCATGTCCCGCACCATCCTACACTTGCTGCATCAGCTCCACACCACACAACTCAAGGTCATGAATCATGATTTTTTTATAATCAGTGTGTCTTATGCTGTAAGCTTGCATAGATTTAACGTATGATACAATTTCCTATTCGTTTTTACTAAATATTTTGAAAATCAAATAATGGGAAGGGGAAGTTGCAGAAGTGTCAAAACTCACCTAACACAGGTATGATTTACATTACAACACACCAACTCAAACAAGAGTTCATCCACATAATAAAAGAATAAGGCCAAGAAGAGTGTGAATGTAATTACTTCCTGTCTAAAGTTTAGTTCAATTTAGAGAAGTTATTTGTGCTCCCAGTTCTCAGAATAGATCATTAGAAACCTATAAGTACATTCAATAATATTACAGTTGGTTTGAACACCACAGGATTTTCATCCACTAACAAATAGGAACCATAATGTCAGCCCACGTCATACCTGCTAACTTTTTATGGTAAGAGACTTTGTAAAAATATATATTGTAAATTATACTATATAGCAAATACCAAGGTGCAACTAAGGCACACTCTACATTACACCAAAGAGCACGTACACACACCTTGCACTACTGTACTGTCAAGCTGCTGATTTGAGGAATAGCTGCAATGTTTGTAATCATAAATAATCAAGTACAGTAAGATCTTGTATTTCGCGAGTAATATAGACAGGAAAAATTGTGCCAAATTCAAATACATAAACTAATGGGAAAAATAACAATATAGACTGGCCACTCAACATCAACCTCTATTTTCCCATTTATAACCTCCAAATGATACAAATTCTGCCTTTATTGACCTGATTGTGCTTTCCAGAAACTAATTTTTAGGCTCTCCTCAAGTAACTTAATCACACGCTGCTTATCTTGCATCGAGTACTTGGCAAATTGAACTCCCTTATGATAGTCCCGCTCCTCCTTTTCCTTATTTGGCCACTTAGGTGGGTCTGTCCCTCCCCACCATCACCAGTAGGACCCCAAGAAGAGGTAGAGGTCATTATCTTGACTTGACAAGTGGTAACACCACCCAAAAAAGCACACAATAGCAGCCTGGATGGTCGCTAGGATAGCGCTGGCTACAACGCGATAGTTGCGTTCTTGTAAACCTCTTTTACGTTCACCACCGGCAATTCGATCACCAGAACGCTTCTTGGAGACATTCTTCTTACCTTGTATTTCCGTATTCATCGCTAACACAACAAAATTGGAGAAAACAGCGAAAATCACGGAGTAATTGACAAACAGCGCGATTCAACTGATCACGTGATGTAAACAGAGAGCGCTGGTATAAACCGTTATTAGTCCTCACTGCGAAAAATTCTTTTTACTTACCGGTATTCTTTTCATACAGTATTTATGGGTAACAGCTAAATTTGAAAAAAAAAAAAATAAATTACAGAGTACTGTACCTCTCATAAAACACTTCACAAACAAAAGACACGAATCAATTGAACACGTGATGTCGAACGTGATCTGTAAACATTGCATAACCTTGTGCCATGCTTAAAACGTTGAGAATGGAATAAAAACATTGAGGATGGAATCTCACTACAGCCATCATTCATATGCAAAAGTTCACGTTTTATAAGCAGCATTCCCCTATTCATCAATCGCATTACAACCAATTCGCGTTGACAAAACATGCGATGTAGCAGAAATGACTAACTGGTATGAGGGCTGTGATGTCATTCAAGGCGGTGGCCAGCATTCAGCTGGCTGGATCTCGCGAAATTCAAAATATTTTACACCAAATATAAGACTTGGTTACATTAGGTAGTGCTCGCGAAATAAAAAAATGCGAAATGAAATCGCGCAAAATATGAGATCTTACTGTACAATATTCTATAACCTGTAATCTGAAAACATACAGTGTATTTAATTACCATAAAACTGTATGAATGTTATAATTACATGGTGATAATTTCAAGCTTTGGCATTAATTTTCAGTGAATTGCAATATTTTTCAATCAACTTCTGTCTGTCCCCTGGTTTGGTACTGAAATATTCTCTCTGTTCTTGGGAATATTTTTCTTTAACTGGGATAATGTCCCTAAATGACCAGTCCTGCCAGTGGTCATTGTAACGCTGCAACAGTTCAATGACATCAGCTTCTGTTGTCAATATGTCCCTGGTAAACGGAAAGAAAAGTAACTGTTATTTAAATCACACACAAGCGTGTCTCTTGATGAGAAAGATAAGGAATGTATGTACTGAATAAAGAAAAGGCATTACTGTACTGTATTTCAATATTTATACGTCTAGGTTTTGATTATTACTTTCTAAGCCCATGACAAGGAAGAAAATATAATCTATTCCAAGCAGTTTGTCATCATCCCCACATCTAACAAATGCAAAGACAGTATAATTTTCTGAAGGGCTTATCTGCTAAAAAAGTCTGTACTGTACATTTAACTGGCTACCATGAATATGGAGACTTACTATAAGAAGAGGAAAATTTGGGGGAGAGACATAATGAGAGTAAAAAATGACAGTTACACAATGACCTTCAGGCACGAGAAGTCCTCTTTTATCTCTCTACTGACACCTGTATTAGTCCTTTCTCAACCTAACAAGGTGGAATAAATGCATAAAACATGAAGCTTTTAGCATAGCTGCGAGTCAAATATACCCTAAACTACCTTAACCACTAAGACCGGTCCCCCATTACAACTGATTAACTACTAATTAATTAAATTGTTAATAGTATTGTACTTAAGCTACAAATGACTAAGATGACAGTTATTGACTGAAAAACAGTTATCACACACACACACCTGGGTATAAGTCAGAGTTGCAACAAATAATATTGCTTTCCAAATAGGTTTAAACTTATACTGTACAATATTTGAGATACAGTACAGCACTGGATAAGTCTCTCTTGCCATTTCTGATTCTGATTATTTAAAGGCTACTTCTGGCAATAATACAGTCTACCTGATACATGTTGATATATGTTTTATTATTTCTAACATACTGAATCTATTTTAATTATAGTTAATTAATAATCATTCACTAGACTTTATTTGCCTTGTCAACTGAGTTTGAGTCTCGTGTAATTATTGGATCATTACCTAATATGATGTTAAAACCATTCTCAATTCTGGCTCACAACAGTGTCAATGTATAAAAATTTCCTTAACAGTATAGTACATCTATCAAAAAAGTATTGTGACCTTTACTGTACTTTACTTTCCGGAACACAGGCTGGCATATTTTGACATATACCTGGGGTAAGGTGATGTGTTGGTATGGCTGCTTTGCAATTGTTATGGTTGATACCGTTCCAATTATTAAAATCTCTATAAACAGGACCAAGAACTTACTATGTATACAGTACTGTTCTGTATTTAATTTCTAATTTTCACACATTCTATAATTTTTTTTTAATTTACATTGGCTATTCACTCATCTCTATCAATGGTAAACCCTCATCCACATGTGCAAGCTTTCTCCTATTCTTTTTTCATCATGAACTAAGCCGACATATTGCTTCCAACTATGAAAATTCAGTTAAACCGTACATTCAACTTTGACTTGATAAACAGATGTATAAAGGAGTACAAAATACTAACCTGGGTTGTTGTCTAGGTAGTTCTGGGCAATGGAGGGATGTGTATGTGATGACACCACGTAGGGCAAACCAGCCTCCGTAATGTGGATGGAGACACACGCCAAACACCTTTTTCATGGGATCCCAAGGGTCTGATGTCAAGTCCTTCCGCTGATAAAGGCGAACAGCACCAGCAATGTGACCCGCTGTTTGGACGAGGATCTTGGGTCGCTTATTTGGTGTCATTTCAAAATCATGGATGGTTTCAATGCTGATGCCCGGGAATTCTTCTTTTACTGGAGTAAAGCACTGGACCATGCACTGGTCTAATGGATCCTGTTTGATCTTTAAGTCATCCACCGTTGCCAAAAATGGAATGAACGCTTTCTCAAACATACTTGGCGTGCTAATGATAACAAATGATAAGGTGTCATCATGGTATGGCAGACGGAAACATGGTGCAACCTGCTCATTATACCAACCTATTTTAAAAGGGTGGCATTCAAATCCCCGTGGACTGAGTACAGAAGTTAGCCTGTTTTCTATGTGTGTCAGTTCTTTCAGAGGGATAGTTTGTTTCGGTGACTGTTCCTGTACAGTATCATATTTGGAAAGTTTATCAGAGCTTATTACAGTTGGTACACTCATTGTTTCCTACAAATAAATGCTTTAACAATACAGTACTTAAGTGGTTGCTTTTAAAATGAGGTGTAAAGGCTTTCTGCTACTGGGTGACTGCAATACACAATTAATTCAAGAATAACCCAGAGCTTCGTTCACACTTATCGCTTCCTAAACAGACCTGAAAAGAAGGAAAAGAATCCTTCTTCAGTATTTCTATTTCATTAAACAAATTTCTGTAAATACTGTACTGATATACAGTATATCCATATAAGAATCTTGTTTAATTTTTTTTTTAAGGAGATCACGTTTTATGTGATAAAAAGCACCAAAAGGAATAGCAGAAAGCATGTACAGTACACAGTATATTTCCCATTTACAAAAGAAAAGGTGGTAGGAATGAAGAATGCAAAACTCATATTGGAATAAGTCTGTTAAGTACATCAGCGAATGAGTGTAGTAGCATAAGGTCTGTCAGAATTGTGGCACAAACAGTGTGAGACGAACCTAACAGTAAGGATTCAGAAAAGAGAGAAGATGAGAGTGTTAAGTGTTTACGTCGACGAATATGAGCAAAGAAGATCTGGAATTAAGGTATAATGTGTTTGTGGTACTTGACTTATGTCTCTGGAAAAATCAATTACAGTAATATGTAAAAATACAACATAGATTTGAAAAGTACAGAAAATGTAATGGTTAAATGAAAAGTTGCTGTATTCTGCTTAAATAGGAAAGTAAAGCATGTGATAGCCTATTGCAAAGACAACAAGAGAGTTCTGATGAAAGTAGGCCTAAGGATGTGTAATTTGCCATGGCTGTTCAATATTTTTATGGAAGGGTTAATAAGAGTACTGTACATGAATGATAAGGCAAGTGTTATTTGTAGATACATCATTCTTGCAGGAAATTCAGAAGAACGGTAACTAATATAGTACAGTAAATTCATTTCAAACGAATGCATAATAGAATATACAGTAATAATAAAACAAATAATGAAGCAAAAAGAAATGGCAGATAGAAATGTTAGTTTGATAAAGGCCAAAGTCAACAAGTGAGGTGTTTCATCTATCTGAGAGTAACTGTTAGCAAACTAAACAGTAGGTGACATGTTAAACCACAGAGTAAGCAAGGGAAGACTGTAACAAGTGCACTGAGATCTACTTGGTGAGATTGAAATGTGTCAAAGGAAGGGATGGGGGGGATATACAGGGGAATATCTAAGCCAATAATTTCATACAGATATGAAGTATGGCATTTGGCTTCAAGAGGAAGAACCAAGATGGAAGCTTTGGAATAAATGCAGGAGATGAGACTTCAGAAGACCAAAAGTGTGTAGATGGATGGACAGCATCTACCGTAGGTGGGTATGAGCTCATGCATATTTAGGATTTATTTTTTATTTAATTTTTTATAAAATGTTGTAATTTTGCAGAAGATATTGAGGTTTTTATTAAAATTGTTAACATGATTTCTTGGGAAATTACCCTGTTACAACTTTCTGGTCAGTCCAAGGAATTTATGTGACAAAAATCAATTGTCTAAGGTATCACTTTGGTTCGCCCCGAAAACAAGGTACAGTACTATAGCATATGCGCAAAGCCTGTAAGATTAATGTACACAAAATCCTCATGCCTCAGTGAGACCTACCCATCCATCATAATATTGCTCTTTTCTAGAAGACAATCTGAAATCTGATAAGGTTATCAACTTGTAAGTGAAAATGCTTAGGACACCTGATATACCTAGTATTAGTTTTTACGTAATTTGGCAGGTGTAAAGCAGTATGGAGATACACATTGAAATGGGCTTTACACACAGTTCTCTTTTCAGTACATGAAAATGACAGATGAGCACTAACTTTATATAGTACAGTATACACCTTCATGTAGCTGTGCTGAGTATATACTTGTACCAGCTACAAACACATATATAAAGTTCTCCTCCAGACTCATTTGTTTTCAGTGTTATTGTTGGTACTTTCCATAAAATAGTAGAAACAAAAAATCTTTGATACATACACACACATGCATGCACACAAACATACAGTACATATACAATACAGTTTATAGTTATTTACATCATCAGATCATTAGCCATCTACTTACTCAGTTTGGAAGTTATGAATATTTCCTCTCTCGTAAGGCCCACCTCGGGTAGGAATTTTTCTAAAGCTTCACCCAATTCACTCTCATTCCGGTATATGGCAGCTGTGTCTGGACCAGGAAAAAAGAATATGAATTCCAGTGATCACATGTTTTTGTACTTTTAAGGATGATGTGAAGCAGAAAAAATTAAAATGTTAACAGGAGTATGAAGGTGACTCTCCAAACAAATGTTTGGCAACCAGCCACTCTGATCCTAAGTTCAGTACAGTAATCACAACAACACACCTTTGTCATGGACCCAGGCAAGGACAAAAACCAAGGTCAGTGTACCTTACCTAAATTATCTTGTCTTTAGAAATAGATCAGAGCACTGGCCAATTCATTGTGCATGGGGGAGGCATGAGATAAATACCCTTATGATATTAGTAAATGAAAAAGGTTCTTGTGGGGACCTGTCCTATTTTGGAAAAAATCTGCTGCCAATTGGCAAGAACATTAACACTATGGTGCTTGACAACAGGAACACATAGGTATAAAAATAAACTGACTGTGCATGTCTCACTGCAGTGGTATTCAGGTGTAAATGCATAGCAAAGCTGATATAAAGTATGTATATATGTCTTACTGGAGAAGAAAATTGACTGCTGGATATGGGCCATGGTGTCTGGAGCTTGGAAAGACAATCATGGTATGGTTATAGAAATGTTTGAATTTTGCCAAGTTGTATCGGGTTTGAGCTTCATAAGAAATACTGTACAGTAATACCTGTATCTCCGATAGCCGGAATCCCTCAAACCCTGAACTCTCCGATAGACGGGAATTGAAATTTTCTCGGAAAATCATTCCCAAAGCCGGAATTTTCTGGAAAACGGCGTTGGGAACGATTTTCCAAGGGGCACATTCTCCGGAAAATTCCGAGAAAATTTTCCCGATACCTGGAAAATTCTAGGGATGCGGGAGTTTTTTTCCAGGTCTGAGAAATAAAATCACGCGCATTTTCCAGAAATTCCGAGAAAATTTTTCCCATACTCGGAAAATTCCAGGGACGGGGGATATTTTTCCGGGTTCGAGAGATGATGTAATGGGCAATTTCTGGAACTTCCAAAAACATTTTTCCATCACCCAGAAAATTCCGGGGATGAGGGATTTTTTTCGGGCTTTGAGAGTCGTCTCATTACCCAGAAATCTCTCATTCCCAGAAGTGCTCTGCCACAATTGTTCTGGCTAACGGAGATATCATTGTATCTACTAAATCTTATCAAACTGGAGCCACAGTCATGCCCAGTCATGACCAGGGGAAACATGTTTGCATTTCTGAGATAAATTATCTTGATATTTGCATAATACTATCTATTCAGATCACAATGTGCCACTGATATCAAACATAGGTATAGATAATGAAGATTTTGAAGAGGTATATAAACCTAACTTGATGAGAGATCAAGGTGAGGATACACCAATAGAATATCATACACAGCTCCTCCCCGACTTACAACCATCTTAGTCGTATCAAAATTTTTTCAAATTACGTATATTCGAGTCCAAACCTCAGTGATTGCGCTGTGTACTGACAAAATTTTCGTTTGTAATTCACTTTAAAATGGCTGGCAAGCTTAAAAGTGAGAGCTTTGTGGTGCTGAGAAGAAAAAGAGATGCTCATTTTAGATTTTCTATGTATTATTTAAGCATTTTCAACTTACGACCATTTCGACTTATGACCTGGACTTGGGTCCCTATCCCCATCGTATGTCGGGGAGGAGCTGTACGTAGTAATATCTCTATTAGCTGGAATAATTGGTGCAGAGCTCTTCCGGGACAAGAGATTTCCGGGCAACTAGACGACTCTCTCAAACCTGGAAAAATCCCACATCCCCAGAATTTTTCCAGGTACAGGTACTGGGAAAAGTTTCACTAAATTTTACAGAATTACACATTATTTTATCCTTGGAATTTGCTCCCAAGCCTAAGAATTTATTTTTATTTTTATTTTTTGTAACTTTTTGGAATGTTCTCAGAAAATGCACTTGATTTTCAGCCTAGGAAACTTGTTCACAGACCCAGAATTAAAAAGAATTTATCAAGAGAAATTCCGAGCCATTTTCAATTCAGGGTACATTTTTGGAAAGCTCTGGCTAACGGTGAAATAACTGTACTTCATGCCCTATAAGACATACCCCCCCCCCCCAAAAAAAAAGAAAACCAAAATGGGAGAGGGGGCGAGCATCCAAAATCAATTGCATTTTATACACCAATGGTTAATCCTTGGGGGATGCGGTCACCAACACTTAAATGAAACCCTCAAAATCCCCATTTGTCACATTGGCTACCAGATGACCTCAGAATGAAATACAGTACAGTATATCATTAAATAAAGAAACAAGTGAAAATCAGTAGAGTAAATGCAAATATAAGTCCATAGTTGATGAATGCATCACTTATCATATTTTATGGCACATAAGACGCACTTTTTTGTCTGTAAAATGGTAAAAAAAAATCAGCCTGCTTCCTATATGAGAAATTGAAGTCTCCCATAAGCTAATGAATACCCCTTTTTTTCTTTGTTTTCTTTTTTATTTACAGGGAAAAGCCCACCCAGGCACAGGTCATCGAACCACAACGGGGCCTATGGGGCGAAAATATTAATCTACACCACGAAGATGCTGGAAAACCAGCTTTTTGAAGTGAGGCATTGTATGAGTATAGAAACACAGAAGAAGGCAGAGCATTCCACAGTTTGGTTGTGTGAGGAAAGAAGGATGTACTATAACGGGTTATTCTAGTGTGACCAACAGCCACAGAGAAACTGTGGACACCGCGGGCAAAATGAGTGTTATGACCCCAAGGCTTTGCCGATGGTACACAGGATGCCAAATCCACCAAACATTGCCCGCTAAAGTACCTGTAAAAGAGAGAAAGTGAAGCAACATTGCAGCAAAGAGAAAATGAAGAAAGATTATCAACTAAAGGAGGAGAGTCAATAAGAAGAAATGCCTTTGATTCCACCCTATCTAACAGTTGGACAGAAGAAGAGCCACCCAAGATATGAGAGCAGTACTCCAAGTTAGGATGAATGAATCTCTTATAAACTTGAAGCAACTGCTCAGGAGTAAAGTAGCTACGGCATCTGTACAGCATTCTCAACTTTCAGGGAGCAGGTTTAACAATGTTGTGGATGTGTGGCTTCCATGACATATTAGAGGAAATGGTGCTGTCTCCAGTGGGCTAAATTCTACCTAACCCAACTCCAGAATTAAAATTATGTTATTGCATTTTTAAACACATTATTATTATTATTTTTACTTATTTAAAAAATAATTTTTGCAAATATAAAAGCTCAATTTATAGGTACTGTACTGATGATGATAACCTGAGACGATTGATGTCCATACAGCCGACACCGAACTCTTCAGAGGATAGTGAAGTAGTAACCATTTTTTAACTCTTGCTGGCATTACAATCTATTAATAATATATCTGCAACATTTATTTTTAAAACTACAAATAACTGATACAAATGAAAAGTTACAGATAGCTCCCTCATCACATTTGCATCTGTTAACAACACTGGCGGTATTGTAACCAGGTTAAGACTCATCACTGTAACCACCAGGCTACTGGGCCAAGATTTGAGGTGTTATGGTTTTTTCAACTCGTATATTTGGGTAGATATACGTAGCTTTATTTATTTTTCCTCAGTTACATGCACACACCATCTTACATACATATTGTGAAAAAAGTAAAAGAAATAAATGTTCTAAAGGTAAACACATAGAGGGAATATACATTTTGTTGCACACGAGTTAGCTGGCTCAGTGGGGGAACAGGAGGAGGCGAAACGTGTGAGGGTGGGTGTTGTTAGTGAATCTGCAGAGGTGGTGCCTCCTTTCTTATGGTATTATTTTCAAATATTCCTCACATTTACTGGCTGTATACAGTATATTACAAAATGCCCTTAAAATTCGTGAGGGTTTGGGTCTCAAAATGGCCGTGAATTGCCAAATTTGCGAATACACCTGTATTATCATTTACTGACCCGGGTGAGGGGGGGGTGTAAATTTTGACTGTTGTGCAAAGAAATGCATATTTCCTTTATGTGTTTACCCTTAAGACAATTACTTCTTTTACCTGTACAGTGGTCCCTCGGTTAACGAGCACAATTCGTTCTAGAAGGTTGCTAGTTAACCGAAACCATTGTTTCAATGGGTTTTTGGGTAATTGGTTCCAGCTCACTGAAAATTGCCTAAATTCAACAAAAAAAGGTAGAAAAGTACACTTACTTTGAGGTGTGTATGTAGAAGACTCCTGGATGATGATGATGATGATGGGAATTAGAATGGGGGTGGAGGAGAAGGGAGAAGAGAAGGCATTGGGGTGGAAGAGAAGTCACCCCATGGCACCATTTCACCCATAAAATTTTAGTTCTCTTGGTGTAATTCAAGATTATTTTCTTTAAATCACCTCTGCACTGCATTATATATTGTCAATATGTAAAATAAATTTCAAAACGACCAATAATTTGCTTGGAAACACAGAAAAAAAAAGCGTTTACTTAAAGAGAGTCTTAAGCAAGATGTTACCTCCACTGAAAAGACACAGAGACCGACGCCTGTTTGGTGTGTTGACAGGCTATTTGGCGCGCATAAAACTAGTTTCCTGTACTTCAATTATGTTCAATAATTGTTAAAATGACTAAAAAATTTAATATTAAACTTTTAAATTTATTTAATAGTATAAACTTCTTGATATTTACTAAAATAGTAAGGAATTTAAGCCCTAGAACAGATTACTGTATTGGCGGACTAATACTACAGCTGGTGGACCGCCAAATGCAAGCGAAAACATGTTGAGGTCGGCTCGTAAGAAACTCGTTAATCGAGGGATTGCTCGTTAACCAAAGCTAAGAATCTTATGGAAGGTAACTCGTTAACTGAAATCTCGTTAATTGAGGCGCTCGTTAACCGAGGGACCACTGTACTGTATACGTGTAGCCACACATGCACAAAAGACATACAAATAAATAATAATGGGAAACTCATCTCACAAATAATCAGAAACAAGACAAAAAAGTATTGAAATGTAAGTCTGCCCTCAAGTCAACTCCATGCTTTGTTATTAAAGTTGGGTTGGTTGGATTGCCATATGGCAATTTTTTCCTCGTAAAACTTACTGTCTCTAGAACAAATGGCATTGAGCGCCAGGTGGGTTGATACGTAGATCAAAGTTACAGAATTTGTTTCGTAGCCATCTAGAACCCAATTGCAGTGCAATACTGTACAGTACTGTACTTTTTCACTATATATGTAGGATGATGTGTGCCTGTAACCGAGTAAAAATAAATGAAGAAAGATACGTATATGTATTTGAAAATAAGAGTTGAGAAACAACCACTACACCTTACAGTCATAGTTTTCTTAAAATAATATATACAGTACCAGGAAATGTTATGAATAAATTAAAATAATATCAATAAACAAGTTACAACAAAAATTACTATTGCCAAACCATTAAATAAATGCCAAACATAAGTTTAACACAGTCACTATTCGCATACACTCCCTGCTCCACCATAGTAATGAACATCAGCTGGGACGCCGATTTCCTAGCAACGCTCTCCACCAGCTACATTCTGCGGTCTCCTCCTATTACATGTTTGCCCTTGGGACAATTATTTCTTTTACTTTTTTAATAATAAAAGAAGTCTTTAGGATGGTGTGTGCATGTAACTGAGTAAAAATAAATTAAGAAAGTTATGTATATTTACCCAAAAATAGGAGTTGAAAAACCATAACACCTCACAGCTTGGCCCAGTAGCCTGGTGGTTACAATGACAAGTTTACCTAGCTACAATGCCATGATTAATCACTATTCTATCAGTAAACACTAATAATAACAGTAAATCCAGTGAAATATAGCAGGGAGTGAGGAGAGTTACAACAGCAGATGACGCACTAACTAACAGTCACTCGGTCCCCTTACCCGTTGTCAGGTGTACGTATCAGAGAAATACATGACCCTTTCTTTTTTCACTTGTTTAGGTACCTTCCCAGGGCTGAATGAAGGTGGTTGAGGGCGTTTGGGAACCGTCACAAGCACGAAGAGCACAGTTGTTAAGAGAGTAGAGTAGCACACGCGCAAAATAGACAAGTGTTTTTCCTGGACTGAGATGGAGTGAGCGCGCTTGGCCCAGCCGCCTGGGACAAGAAAGACACCAAGCGGGACGCAATAAAACTCGTGGGCTCCCCATCCCGGCCGCAAAAATGCCGCCAACTTTAAAACTACCCGCAGACATTCTTGGGTACATCCAGGGTGTAATCCGCGAATAATCAAAGACCTCGAATTGTAAAGGCATGCTGTATTTTAAGAAAACTATGGCTACAGGAGGAAAATCCATACTAAAGTTTTTTCCTTAAAACTCCCTGCTAAACTGGTGGGGGCTTATATGGCCGTGCCTTTATATACTGTACCGTAAAGTACAGCAATAACCTGTGCAATGTGAATTTGCCTAAACAATGTGTTTAAAATTATTTGTAATACAGTACTCATTTATCACAAAGAAAACCCATTTCTGTAGTACTGTACAGTACAGTATACTGTATATAAGTTGCCATATGGCTGCTATTTTTAATAATTTTGTATACAGTAGTTTTTTTATTACAGAAAAGAATAATACAGTAGTGAGGTAACATTACACAAGTGAAGTGATAAGTATTTCTTTATTTTATTTCATTGATGATTATTTTTTGAATATCTTGAAACAGTGGCAGTAATGGGTCTAGGGCAGTACAGGTTGAGGAATCCACTGCTACTGTAAAAATGGCCCAGTATATTTTCCAAACTTGAGGTAATGATATGGAACCTATATTTAATTCTATAGAGAACTATATATGCTGTATTGATTTTTTACAAAATACTGTATACTAGTGGTTTACATAAGCAATTAAGCCTACATCCTATCTGAGTGTTAATTAGTGTCACAATGTTAGCTAAGGTAAGAAATACTGCAAGACGGAAGTTAAACAAAACACCATATCTACATCATGCTGGAATCAAAATAACACAGCCCACATCCAGCGTAACTTCTTACCAAGGTTTTGTTGCATCTTTTACTAGGTTATGACTTAGGTTGAATGTTCATATAGAATTAACCTGTAAAATACTGTAAATTTTAATGTGAAAACCCAAACTATGTCTGGTTCCATGTAGCCTCAACCTGTCTCGTTACTTGGTTCTTATTACATACTAATGATCAAAGTCTTGTGAACTAAAAAAATTGCTCCTATACTCTACTTGTGGAGTGTAATTTGCAAACTTCAAAAGTATGAGCTTGTGGTACTGTACTTTATTGAATAATACATAAAGATAGATGTACTGATAGGGATAATATCAGATATCTCCCCTCTATATACCTGTACACTATACTGTACTGAAGGAATAATAATAAAAAACTTTATCATGAGATAATTTACCAGGTGTTATTCTTATATGCCTTACCAAAGGATGTGTAGCCAGCTTGTAGCGCAGCCTTCGTAACCGAGGAAATTATCTCATGTCCACGAATCTTGTATGTTCCAACTGTAAAATTATGTTATTATTAAAAACCACGAAGACAAATGAGAAAATATCTATGCAATAAAACTTTCACACAGAGAGTTAAGGAGAAACCAAGACAATGATTTAGGAAAGGTCTACCAAGGAAACTATAATACCAACAAAAATAGGTTTTCCTAGTGTATTTTGTGGTGATTGAATATGAACCGGTATGGAGATATGATCCCATCCCACTACCAACAATTTTGACTGCACAAAGGGGACAGGGCTTTGAGATAGAGGGAAATTGTGAGATAAAAAAAAATAAAAAGTGACCAACCCAAACCTAACCATACCTTAATTATCAGATGCTGGAGGAAAAAATAATGCTACTTGTAGGTACTTGTATTTTGTCCAACCAAGTGCCCTTAAATGCAGAAAAAAAGTCACAGTGAGGTAATTTCTTTGTCTTGGAGAGTTTCCATCTTTCAGTACAAAACCACAGGTTCTTAACTTGATGATAGTGACAATCTGAACTGCACTTTGCACACTTAACAGTAGTTAGCAGAATGCCCTAAGCCTTAAAAATGTCAACAACAGCAGCTTCATTGTCAGATGTCTACCATGTCTACCTACTTAATGGCCACCCACTACAGGTGGCCAAGCAAAATTCAAAACTCTGAGAACGAAAATGCGCAAGAGTATCACGTGGCACCAAGAGCAGCGCTGTTTGGCAGGACATAGTTATATGATTACGATGTAAACAGTTATCCCACAAAAATGTAGTTACATTGCTTTCTTAAGTCAAATCGAAAATATAAATTGGCAACGGAAATGTAACAAAAATATAGTATTCTTTTTTTTGCTCTATTTCCCTATACACTGTATAAATATCAGTATGAAGTAATGTGGTAGACCTTTTCCGAATCTTAACCGAGACGAATATAGTAATGTTGTGTCAAGTTACACATATTACTGTTCAAACTCTCTTCAGATTATTAACAAAATCATTAGATAAATATGAGGCATGATTACAAACCTATCCTTATAACCCAAAATTATGTTACACTGTATGAAAAACTACACCATAAAGTCTAAAGATGAGATTATTGATCAAACAAATACATAAGCATATGACATACAGTACTCAATACTGTATATATTTACAACTAAATTATTTAACTACCCAATTGCAACTTACATCCAATTAATGGCATAAAAACCCCATTGGAGAGTGTTCCTACTTTCTGCATTCCACCCTGAGGAAAGATGGAATTATTAGTTATTTAATATTTTTAACCTAAGTAATATACAGTACAGTATTAATAACATTTAGGTGAAGCTCCAGTTCAGATAGGTTGGGTTAGGCAAAGTAATTAAGTGTGGTTTGTTTTATATCAACGACAAATTATTAATGTAGCAGTCTAGTGTCGTGGAATGTCAACAAAAGCACTTGTGATTTTACACCCATTAATTACAGACTACCCATCACAATAATGGTCATAAAGTAAAATAGAACAGACCAACTGCCTGAATGAATAGTAAGCTGATAAATGGTATGTAGCCAAATATAGCCGGAATGAAGTCAAATAATGGTCCTAGATGAATAAATCGGACTGCTAATCACTTCTCGATTATTATTTGGTGTCATAAAGTAAAAAATAATTGGTAAACTTAATTTAATCCGAGTTGTGTTGTGTTAGATTAGGTACATGCACTTGATCTATGGTGTAATTTTACATGTTTTGTGGAGGTGAGAGAGTAAGCCGGGATCCAGTAGCCCAGGTGTTGTTGCACTGAAACACAAACAGAACAAAATAAAAGTGTAACTAGTTGTCTTTATTCAATAATAAGTTAGAAAAATAATGTCATTCGTTCTATTATTCAGTAAATCAATCCAGTGAATGAAAAAACTCCTTGAATTTTGTATTAATTCTTAAGTAACAAATTTACTTTAAAAATTTGTTACCTTATAATATAATGCGTTCCTTTAACTTCAGGATAACTAAAGTCGCAGTTGTCATCTGGCCATTTAAATTAATTTATTCTCATTTAAATTCACTTGATTAAACTAAGGTAATATTCCGCAAAAAAACTCATTATCAATATATTTTTTAACTTTTTCCTAGAGTAGTTTTTCTCGCTGAATATACGACCAAGGAAGGTAGAATAAGCAGGGTTAACTCCCTTTAATTTGCGTGTATTAATCAGTGCCGCCATTCGCTGCGTCATCTATCGTTGACCAACATAACTAAGACATTATTCATAGAAAACGAGAGATGTCGTTTATTGGATCAACTATACTAACCTTGACGTATTTATAATCTGGTATTTATTTATTTATTTCAACTTCATTTATTCATTCATGAAGAAAACCTAACCTCATCATCATTTGTAAGACATCAGTCATTCCAAAATGACTAAAATTACGGTCTCTTGTATTTTTTTATGGTTAAACACTTTTTTTTATAAGATCACTATTGCTGGATTATACAAGTTTAAAGGTAAACAAGAATGTTATACTGTAATGCACTTTATTATATAAAGTAACAATAACACGAAATACAAAAAGAGCTGATTCACCAAAACAATCTTATCCATATACAAACATATATATTAAGAAATATAGACATAGATAACCAAATGTATGTCGGTGCTTTGAAGTTTGGGTTCAACATCACCCACTATCAAGTGAACATAATTTTGTAGACTATAGGAGAGAGATCTCAAAAAGATCCCGGCCTATTGCAGAATCCTTATGTTCTTATGTTAGAGGTGGAAGGACCAGGGATACGTAAGAATTGGATAGAATGATCGTCTTTCTCGTAAAACTCAGCAATAAAATTAAAATAATCGTAAGAGTACAAACGACAACCAATCTCTACCCTTGGTTCCGTGCTGTCGCTCTTGCTCCCACTACCCTCCCCTTGTATAGATCCCAAGAACGTCCGTCCCCACTCTTCATCGACTCCTCCCTCCTCGGCTTCAAGGACCCCAGGAGTTTTTTGTGTTGTTCCCTCTGCTTCAGGCCCAGAACTTGCCAACAGTGCGTAACAAAAACGTGACCGATCAGTAGTGAAAAGGATAAAAGTAATTACCGTGCAATCTGGGTTTTCAGGTGCCTTCAAGAGAGTTCAGGTTCTCAACTGGCTCATCCATGTTAATATTGTTATTATTATTGACTCTGTATATGTGTTTTTTCTGATTAAATAAACTGTTTCAATATAAATATCAATATATGAACATACCCTGAAATGTATCGCTCATTGCAAAGTGTTTTGCATGCTGAATAACTTACCATTTTTCATCCTCACTCACTAGTGTGACCTGAGAGGGCGGGCTTGCCTTCCTGCCTTTGTCCTAGCCTCCTCACGTCTTGATTGGAGCTGATAATTTCAGAGCTTCATCACAAATATTCTGAAATTTCAACTTGTGTGTTTTCCCAGTTTCAGCTGCCTCTGATTGGCTCTCGGGGACGCCAAACATGATTACGTTGTTCCTACGCTCTGAAAGTTCCCGTTTCTCACACTAAAGGTTAGGATTTAAATGCTGAAGAGGACATAGTATATATATATATATATATATAATATTATTTTTAATCACACACGCACATCTAAAATATCTTATGCCAGTAAAACAACAAAGTTAGTCATATAAAGCGACTCATTTTCTTTGATTACATTAATTCGTTTTCTATTATGCTGGAGGTATATAGCAGATCAAAATGTCATGTTGCATTTGAGCCTCAGTCTATATATCTTGGAAAGTCAGTCTATCAATTTAGGAGAATCAATCTATTGATTTAACTAAATATGAGAATTACTCTATCAATCTCTATTTACCTAGAAGTATCACTAGCCTTCCCACTATACTGTAAATTCAAGTAAAACAAAGAGCGAATGAAGAACTGGCTCTACGGGCGTAATACCTTCGCCTAGCCCTGGAACCTTATTATCAAACTTTAGCAAAATTACCCGGGTTCGCTCGGGGTATGTACATACCCCCTGTACTGTATAACCTTGACTCACAGTTTGTCCTCCCTGACACGATTAACCACCTCAACCTAACCTAACCTTGGCTCAGTTTATCCTCCCTGACGCCGGTAACTACCTCTCGGAATCGTCGTGACGGTTTCTCAATTGGGGAAGAGTTTTGGTTCGTGCCCTGATCACTTAGGGGTTTGTGGTCAATAGTAATATCAAAGTGTATGACCTTGGGACCCAGGTAATAATATGTGTGTACGGTGTCACGTCTCTGACTGTTTTCGTTTTGGAGCTATTGTTGGAACAGACAGACTCACAGGCACACTCTTTTATTATTATAGATGTATAAAAATAGCATGTAATATAATTTTGATACATGAATGTCGTTATTGAAGCAACTTACTGACTGATTTTCTTTTTGGCTGATTAACTTACTGATTTACGAAATTACCTATTGACTGATTAACAGGGAGGTACTACCGCCTGTAAAGATATTGGAAGCATATTGTATTGCATAATGATAGACCCTGCTGCCATATAGCATCACAAAAATTGTGACCAAGTCCCAGGTTGCTGATCTGATTTCCTGTCTCATTTACACACAATTGCAGGAGTGGCATAGCTAGAGTGTGTGCCGCCCGGGGCGGCCCTTGAGTTTGCCGCCCCCCCCCGTGCCCCCACAAAAAATACATATTGCACAGTGACTCACTTTATATATATATATATATATATATATATATATATATATATATATATATATATATATATATATATATATATATATATTAAATAGTTTGTGTACCATTATAATATTACTGTACTTTCACATACTCAAATATAGTATGCTTTAAATACACCCCAAACATACTTAAACTTTATAAGTAACAGTTAAACAAAAAGCAAAAACGACATATAGGATAGGGAAAAAAGTAAAAAAGTGTAAAAAATTAGGACCATCTTTATTTCTGAAATGAAAACTACAACTTTCTACAAAGTAACTTTTCTTGTTTTTTTGTTGGCAAATTCTTCAATGACATTGTCAAAAACTATTTCATCTGTCAATTGTCGCTCTATAGACAGTATGGCAAGATTTCTCAACCGCAAGGTGCTCATAGTAGATCTTAAGTAATTCTTGATCAGTTTTAGTTTCGAAAAACTCCTCTCACAGGTAGCAACACTAACAGCAATTGTGAGGAAAATCCTCAGCATTATTACTATATTTGGAACCGAGTTCCCAAGGTTATACTTTTGAATAAACTGCAAAAGTTCAAGGGGGCCTTCTTTCCACGTCTGTATTCTGTCTTTAATAGTTATAGCAGCAACAGCAACAAAATGCTGAAGTCTTTTTCTCTCAACGAGGAACTCCTCTTTATCAATGTCGTCGTGATCGTGATCTATTTGACACTCATATTTATCATCCAAAAGATTCAATGGGGTAAGGAAGGCATATTTCTCAGCAAGTTCATGAAGCTGTTGAAATCTCAAAGTTATTTCTTGGATCACTCTGTCCAGCGAAGAAAACATTTCTCTCCTCAATTCAATGTCGTATGGCAATTCAGCATCTCGTGATCCTTCACTTTTGGGGGGCGGCACTTTTGGGTCTGCTCATCACCCATATCTGCAGCTACTGGAGACGTTAATCCTTCCCTTTGTATCGGCGGCAAGTTAATCCTCGTCGTGTCTGACCTAACACCTGACCCACACCACATGAGCTCACTGGCGTACTTGTTTGAAGTTGTTTCCTTAATCCTCAACAGGTTACAGGTTGTGTGTGTGGCGGGGGGGGGGCGCATAGCAAGGGTGTAGCTCATGACGTGGCCGTGATGATGTGGGTCAGGTGTTAGGTCAGACACGACAAGGATTAACTTGCCGCCGATACAAAGGGATGGATTAACGTCTCCAGTAGCTGCAGATATGGGTGATGAGCAGACCCAAAAGTGCCGCCCCTAAAGAGCTGCCTGGGGACCGCCCCTAGCTACGCTAGTGAGGGTGTCAATTGTTTCTCTTACTTTGACAACACAACATGTATATTGTATATCGTTTCTCACTTATTATTTTTTATTTTTCTCTTTATGGTTATTAATAATAGTAGTAGTAATAATAATAATAATAATATTATTATTATTATTATTGTTATCATTATTTTATTAATTATTATCATTATCAATATTATTATATTAATTTTTTATTATCATTATTATATTTTCGCCCCCTACTCCCTGATGTAGGTCAGTGACCTGTGCCCGGGTGAGCTAATCCCCGTAAAAAAATATTATATATATATATATATATATATATATATATATATATATATATATATATATATATATATATATATATATATGTGTGTGTATGTGTGTGTGTGTGTGTGTGTGTGCTGATAACCACAAGGAAAAAAGAAAACACGAAGTTCCCAAGCTCTTTCGTGTAATTCACATCTTCAAGGGTGATTACAGACTAAGGAGAAATACATAGCAAGGCATATATACAGTAGAGGAGGGTAAGATCAAGTCCACAATGATCAGGTCACTAGGTAGTGACCCTACTAATCTTCAATAACACCGCAGCAGTCGGTAGTCAGGTTAGAGGGTAAGATGACCCAACCTTCTCACCTGGTTACAAATCTTCTTAATTACGAAATTATCCTTCCTCTACTGTATATATATACGCCTTGTTATGTATTTCTCCTTAGTCTGTAATCACCCCTGAAGATGTGAATTACACGAAAGAGCTTGGGAACTTCGTGTTTTCTTTTTTCCTTGTGGTTATCAGCATATACCTAGATCACGCGCACTCACAGTGATTTACTTGCATATGTATATATATATATATATATA